TCTTCGCCCCGACTGCAAGCTCCCTTCAGTCCGCGACGGGCGCATTGACTCTCCCGTTCATCTTCGACTCGTCACACACGAGCCGCGCGGGCATCCTTGGCTCCACCTCCACTTCCAAGGTACCCCACCACTCAGCCCTCTAGCCCCTTCCACACATCACCCTACGTTGCCCTTCTCCGCTACCAGGGCGCTGCTGCCGAACGGAGTATTCCTCGCGGCGCGGCGACGGCTGATCAGTGCGCGACTCGTCGTTGTTGCGGCGATTGTGCGAGGACGAGGAGCGTTGTAATAAGTTGTTTCGTCGTCCGTCAGTGCTTGCTCGCTGGCTTTCATAAGGTTTCGTCGCGCTTGTGACTCGTAACACGGAAGGAAGAAGAAAATCTACGATACGCCGGCGTATTGGCAACGAGAGGATTCTTCGCGACTTTACATTTATACGCGGACCGCGAAGGTTATTGTTCGCTCCCGGCGAGTCTCAGCGTCTCTTGTCGTCCCACGGATATTACTGGAATAAAGTGTGTCAACGCCAAGTGTGACAAAAAAAAAAAGAAAAAAGTGAGAACCGCGCGTGAGATATCGCGTAGAATAACGCGAATTGTCAACGACCCCTCGCCGAGGAGTGCGTCGTACGTTGTACACCGGCCAAATTGTCCCGTAAATACGCGCGTGCCGCAGTGCACAGTGGGCGATCGGAGAGTTGGTTTTCCGCCGCGGTTTTCCGATTCGCGAACAACCAAATCGGCCTTCGTTTGCGCGCGGCATTTGCGCGTCGGCGCGCACCTTGCCTCACGTTTGTCGGCTCACGCCGCTTCCGGGCGACGGGGCTTCTTCGTGTGACACCGAAACGGGGCACCGGCACGACGCGATTCGTGGCTATGCAGCAGCCCCGCGGCGCAGCGGCGAGCAGGTAACGCCGACGGAGATACGACGAGTAGAACGCCTCACATCCGCGCCTCCTCCGCTCACCGAGGAAGCGCCGGCGGCGTGTAAACACCGAGGGATACGCGACGTGTCAACATGTGGACCACGATGATCGTGTGGACGACCGCCGTCGTTCTCCTGCCGACTCCCCGAATGGTAAGTTTGCCTCTTTATTTATTATATTCCTTTTTATCGCCGTGTTTCACCGTACACGGCACTCGATCCCAAGTTCTGCGAAACTCATTCTTAAAGACCGGTCTTTTACAACTGTTTTCCAATTCAGTTTTCACAAACAAAATTAATGTCTTTTGGGGATTGAGACCGCAGGGCGCCCAACCGTGCAAATATGTTTTGTGAAGGTTGCGTGAAGAGAAGCTTAAGATGCGGTTGGTACGTCTTATTTTAGGATAGATTTCAGAACACCACATAACCGTACCACAACATTACCTAAAGTTAAAAGCCGAAGGTATCGTAAAGCATAAGAGATACATAATACACAGCCGGCCGATTTCCGATTCTCAGAAATGACGCGAAACGTGCGTTCCTAAGACTGTACAGGGGGATTGCAGGGATTGGATTATATAATAAATCGCGCGATAGTACACATCACGTGTTGTCATCATAATTCAATATGTCGGGAGGGATTCTCGTCGACTTCTGTCGGCGTTGCCGACCTTGGACATCGCGATTCGATGAATGAGAGCGCTTGGCTCTCATGATGTTCGGCACAAAGCGGAATAAGCACTTTGGGTACCTGGCTCGTTTCGCCCCCATAGATCACCATTGTTGTGTTGAGAAAAGGGAAGGTGCCGCGCTGCAGATGTGCGCTAAAGATCGGAATAGACTCGACGTAATCGACTAGCGTTTCATAATAATCCATAATACGTTCTCTCAGAGCGAAGCTCGGATCGCGCACTTGCGCAACTGCGATTTATTCGCGCCGTCGGGCACGTTTTGCGTCCGCGTTTACTTGAAGCGATGAAACTGTCGCCCGATAAATACCTCGACGATATTCGTACCTTCGATGTTGAGTAGAATGCGAGAAGCACTTTTGAATTGTCCTGCAAGATCCTTATTCCTTAACAATTAACCTCGACTCTGCAAATTGTTTATTCAAGGTGATAACGCCCGTTAAATGAGACAGCTTAGTTTGTTTGTATTGTCGAACGAAATGTTTTCTTGTTTTCTTCAACAGTCGATTGAAATAAAATGTAAAATAGATGGTTCAACCATATGTTTCTGAATAAATCGTTTTCAATAGAAGGTAGTCAAATAAAATGCTCGCGATAAAATGTTTCGAAAAGTTTTGATTTTACATACAATAAAATTCGTTTTTAAATAATTTCAAAAAAAAAATTTGGAAAACTTTGGTTAATCTCTGCTGTTTCTGAAGTAAAAAGAAAAAGTTCGTTACTGCAGTGCTTCTCGAGTTTATTGCATTTGACAGTTATGATAAATTTAGTATTTTACAATTTAAATTCTTAACTTACATCTCGTCTTGAATGACTGATTTGTATGCGTCGACGAGCAGTGCGTTTCGCGTATTATACGGCCCGTTTCTTCTCCGGGTTTCTTCTCCACACGGATTCCAAGGGAATTCTTCCTGGGAGAGATGTCTTCCCCAGTCCCCTTTCCCGACCCTTGTGCTCTCTGTCTGCCGCGATCCTTCGCGTTCGTGTGCACGACTGCCTTCGTGCTTATCTCTCAACGATGCTTACCATGCTTTGATACTGTTTGTCGAAGTATGCAGAAGTGAGTTTGCTTTTAGAATTTCTGAAAGTTTTCGAGTTTAATCAGCAATGCGTGTCTGACAATGTTACAAGCAAATTTTTATTTAATATTTCTATTTCTTTTTCCTCGTGCGATGCCGCCGCGAAGTCTTCTCGTTCTCAGATAATCGTTTTAATTTAATTAATTTGATCGCTATATAATTACAATCGTCGATTGTTGTTACGCATCTTGCTCGCCCAATTTCTTGTCTTCGTAGAAAATTTCTTTTCTAAGCACATATGAAATTCTGTTTCTCTCTTTTCTTGCCACGCGGAGAAGTGTGTACCGTCCCTAACGGCAGATTCGGCGGCGCACACGCAACTCTAAATCTGGATGCACTCTTTTAGAAGTGTCTAACCGTGCTTGTGCCTCCTATGTCCGTCTCTCCCCTTGGCGCTGCTTCTAGTTAGCTTCGCCTTTCACGCTTTAGTCCCGATCTTCGCGCAACCTGCGCAGAATCCCGCTGTGGCGGATTCTTTGTTGTGTCCAGTACCGGTGTCGGGATGCCGAGAAGAAAAAGAAGAGTGAGATTGCATCGGTCGTTGCGATCCGCAAAGAGAACACGCCTCAAAGGCGTCTGAAGGGTGGCCCGGGCGGCGAAAATCGTTTTGTGTGACGAAACGTATCGTCGGCTACTCTGCCGCGTATATACATATATATACATATATATATACGTAAATACGCGCGGCGGCCATTCTCCGTTCTCAGAATAACCTTCCAGCGCGCCAAAAATGAGATTCTTCATCGTGAGGGCAGCGTGCTCGTGTGCGCGCCTCTGTGTACGGTTTGTGTGCTTTCCGTGGCGTGTACGATGACGCGCTCATTTAATCGTTTACCTTCGCAAGACGCGAACTAACGGGATGGACTCGCGACGAGTCGCCACCGAGCGTGTGTCGGTTGCATCGACTGTCTTCTTTAAGTAAGCCCAGTGCGCGACGGTGATTTGCAACAAAGACGCGTTCTCATTGCTAAGAGTCTGACATTGAATGCGAACATTTGTGTTTCAGTGGATAAAGCCCCGCGGGGCTCAGCCGCACTTAACGCACGATGCATATGAATGTAAACATATAAAGAAAAATGTAGAATATACCGCTGGAAAATACGAAAAATTCAGATGAATAACTGTATTTCACTCTGCTGTTTTAAAAATAGCTGATTGCCTGCGAGTCTGCAGTGTGTGCTACCTTTATCCGCAAACGTTATATTTATTTCTGTCGTGCAAGGTCGTGTGAAATGTTTCATTTTCCAAATTTACGGCGTGACGAGAAGGTCTTCAGTCATAACTGTACATCAAATGTAATTTGAGAAAAAACCTACAAAATTTGACATTGAAAATTCAATTTGTCACAATGTCAGCGGATTCAAACGCGCACGATTATCTCATTTCCCGGCATAAAATGGCTTTTAATCTAATTCGTTGAAATAGATTTTTCCACACGCAACCTCTGCTTTATCATCCCGCGATGTTCGCTGATTTATATTTTTGCAAGTCTCAAGTTGCAAATTTGTCGACAGTGCGCGCAATCGATACGTGAGACGATCCGCGGGTTCGATAAGGAAAGCTAATGCCGAGAGCTCGCCGTTCGGACCTCGTCGAAGGCCTTACCGTTCGCTCTCGGCTATACAATATCTCGTGGGAAGTTTCGCCCGGAAGCGCATTCGTGTGCGCGCCTTCTGTACGTACAAACACACGCACGCCTGTGTCCACAGTGGTCGAGCACTCTCGGCGTCGCGACGACGAGGAGAGGAAAAATGGGAAGCACGTATTTGACGTCGGCGCTGTTTATACAATATAGCGGCTCAATCGCAGCGACGATGTACTATCGATACTCCGAAGGAATCGTTGACCCTTGACTAACGTGCTTCCCCCATCCTTTCTTCCTTCGTCTCGTGAAGCCTTCAGCGTTGGAAAAATTGTTTATTAGATATTTTTCTGAGAGATTTTACTTTTTCCTTTTGCACTATCAAATCGTTAACGTTATAAAAATGAGGATTACATTCTGCCAATTGTATTTGAAGGTAACAAAATCGCGATGCGCAACAGTGTGATAATTGCGCGAGCTAATAGCGAGAGCGACTTTTATGCTGCCGAAAAACACCGCTAATCGACTCGCCTTTTTTCGCTGCGCACTCTCGAGCGAGCCTCCGCCCGGTAATTTCGTTAAGCAGCGCGCCTCGCGAACTAACTAGAGCGTTGATGCATTTACGAGCTTGGTCGACCGGTCTCTTTTTGCAGACTGTGCTTGCATCCACACATATCTAAAATGAATATCCGTTGCTTTCAATAATAGTGTGGCGGCAGTGACAAGAAACAAATCAATTTTTTTTCAAGCATTTTCTTCCGCATTTTTTCGTCAACGCGATATCGGAATTAATATAAATACTGCAACAATCGATTTTCGTTATTTTTAACATTTTACGAAGACTGAAAGTGTAGTTGCGTGTTATTTTAAAAGCTCGTGCAAAGCCGTTTGACCATAGTTCCGGTTCTAGCGAGAGGAATGCTCAGCTTGACATCGGCTCGATATCGATAAAAAGCGAATCGTCGAATTTGCGGTAAATCGTGGCACGTTTTCGTAATTCAATTATAATGGCAAGCCGTATCGGCGGATGGCTCGCGTCTCCTCGTGCGAGCGAGAGAAGACACGCGCTTTTTGCCGGCTCGACTCCGCTGCTTCTCTCCTCCTGGGAGACGTGCGTGACACGCGTCTGCAAAAACGCACGCGCACACGTGCTCCTGCGGCGTTTCACATCGTGGGGCACGAGACGACGTCCCCCGTCTCGCGAGCAGCGAGAGAGTGCCTCGTTTGATAGCGAGCTCTTTTTCCCGCATCCCATGATGATTCGCCGCCGTCTGCGGACCAGATCCACATTAAGATCGCATCGCGATTGCACGTGGAGTTATTAAAGATATTCCTGGGGTGCTCTGCAAAATTCGACGCCCTCCCTGAAGAACGCGTTTTTTATCGTGCGATCATTAATATGCGCGATTGATGCGAAAATTAACACGTTCAAAATTGACGTCGAACGGTCCTAACTTTTTTTTTAAATACGCTTTCCATTTTCCGTTTCAATTTGTCTTTCGAAAATTGCATGTCGTGTTGACGAGGATTATGTAATTTCCTTGACTCGCGTTTTCTGAAAGCGAAATGCATATGTGTGTTACAGGTGCACGCCTCGGGGGTGTTCGAGCTGAGGCTAAAGTCTTTCATGAACGAGTACGGCAAGGACAGCCTGGGCAAGTGCTGTTCCGGCAACGCGTCCAAGACAGGCGAGTGCTCGGGGGTCTGTAAGACGTGGTTTCGGGTCTGCCTGAAGCAGTACCAGGCTGAGATCGACACAACGTCGCCGTGTACGTACGGCGACGTCGTGACGCCCGTTCTCGGCGAGAACGCGTTCAATCTCAGCGCGAATGTCGCTCTGCCGAGCTTCACCAACCCCATCAACTTCCCGTTCGACTTCACGTGGCCGGTAAGTCCATCTGTCACACATTACACACTTAATAAAGTCGACGAATTTGTCGCTCGCGCGCGGGTATTTTACGACGTACATTTTTATTCTCGAATATTCTGCGGGATAAAAATTATATTTAACTCGAATGAAATGTAATTTGGACACAGAAGCAATTAAATAACGAATTAAAATGGAAATTTATTTAAAACGTAAAATTTACTTTTGGAGAAATTTTTAGCAGAAGGTGCGTAATTTTGTACGTAATTTTATACGTTAATTAAAATTATATTTTATTGAATGAATGTAAATATGGTGGCAAAGACAAATTTAATTACAGAAATTAATAAGATATTTATTGCTCGTGATTAATTAAATTATTTTGCGGGAATTTTTATGAAGAGAAAGTACGAGTTAAATTTTTTAACGTCTAGCAAGACACCTTGTGTGCCTAATAGCATGAAACATCACATGTTTTCGCTATATGCGTAGGATAGATCTGACATCCTAAGGGAATGTGTCATCGTAGAATTATATGCAGTGATTTATAAACTTTCACAAGATAACATAAAAGTCGATACACGAACGATGTCTTACGAGAGGTGTGCATGCGTTGAAGATTTTTTGCAGGTCTCGCGGATTAGCATAAACGTTTCAATGTGGGAAGTAAGAAATGTTGACGACCGTGTAGCGATAAATAACAGTACCAGCGTGTTCCATATAACGTCGGATCGTAATGATGCATAACTATAGTTAACAAAAAATGAAAGAAAACCATTTGCACGTATCGCCTGCGTAACATCGCTTGCCGTGCCGATACTTGACAAGTGTCCTGCGCTATTGAATTCCTTTGATTCTTTTTTAATATTCCAACAACTATAAATACGTGTTGTTTTGCAATCGACTAGATGCGTTCGCGAAAAGTGTAAGACACGTGCCGATAAGACGGCAAAAAGTACAAACAGCAATCCGAGCTCAGCTGCGCGGAAAAGAACAATACTTCCGTCCGTCCGTAACTGGTCACGGATGTTAATCGCCGAGTGCATGATCCGACTAGTTTCCAGCAAACGCCGGAACAAAAATGCAGATAAGAAACACGCGGAATTGGCGTGCGCGCGAGAAAATTATGTTACGCCGAGAGCTCTCGAGTTAACGCGTGGACAAAGTCTCAAGTCGGCCCGCCCTTTTGTAACGTGCGCTGTTGCTGCGCGCGATGCTATCTCGCGCGGAAAGTGCAATCGCGCGCAGTCCGGCTTCGCGTCCGGCCGACTAATTAGCACGGAAGTCGCGAGTTTTGCATGCGAGATTGAAAACTCGTTCGGTTTGTAACTTCTGAAGGTCGATTATCGTGAGATTGTACTGCGCGATGTTTCCTAGTATGGGCTGCTGCACGGAGTGCAGCCGCGACGAGATAAAACTTTGTCATCTACTCTTTTCATCGGTTAAAAATAATGGAAATTTTATTCGTTGCGCAATATTGGGATTATTTCCCACTCGTATGATAATTGAAATATCTGATCGTTTATCGCCGGTATAGTAATTAGAGTTTTCACATCGCCGGTATATTAAGTTCTGAGAATATAAACTTCGATGCGGGTTTGTAATGCGTTAGCGTGCGGTGTTTACAACTCCCGCGCCGCGACCCTAACAATGCGCGTGCGGTGCGTGTGCGGGAAGTGCGTTGTGTTGTCGGGGGCATCGGGGAAAAGATGTTGCCACGCGTCGGCGGTCGCGTTGCATTTGCAACAGGTCGGCAGCAGAGCAACGACTTTGATTTCTGCCTCGTTTGACGCGCACAATTAACGGAAAGGGCGTTAATTGTCTCTACGGCAAGTCCGCCCCTCGCGTGCGCGCAACATGCGTCGTGATCGCTGCTGAATGTACAAGGATCGACGCACTCTCTCGCATCTGCTTTTTCCCTTCAGACTTTCGCGCGCGTTGCAACGAGAGCGCCGTCTCGCGTACAGACAGGTTGATTGTGTCGAACGAGAGAGAAGGAGAGCGCGTGTTGTGTAGGGGTTGCGTTTGTGTATGGCACGCACGACGCGTGCTGCCGGCGTTGCTTGCACGCGTGCGTAGACACGCAGCCGTCGGTGCAATAAAGAAAGAGAGACGGGGAGATCGAGAGAGCGGGAGAGAAAGAGCGAGAGTTGGACTGGCAGATGCCGCGGAGAAAGAAAGAAAAAGAGAAAGAAAGCGGCAAGGGGAGAGAGTGGCACTTGTCTTTCCCTCCTACTGTTGTTGATGCTGCTTGCTGTTGCCGACGGTGCTCTTAGATAGGCGCCGAAATCCACGACTCGCCTCTGTAAATGTGATAATTGATAGGAGTCGAGTCGAACGATCCAACATATATACGTTAAAATTCCCGTCATAATTATCTTGGTGTATCTAATAATTCATATCTTCGTGAAGAGAAACAGCTGAAATAGAAGTCTCGGGGAATAACATACTTTTTCACAATATTTCTTCAACGTTATCACAATTTATTCTACCGTTTTTGTTTGATAAAATTGCCTGATCACGATCGAACATTACGTATGCAAGCATCGATAGAACGCGATAAGGAACGAAGGATATTTGTTACGCGATCTTAAAACGATACGTTATATAAACGTCGTCAAGGCTGCAATTACGGAAACTTGAAGTAAATCTGCAATCCCGTTGTTTGTCACACTTGGAATTTCAGTGAATTGTTTCCACGTATTCGTAATTATTTCCATACGACGAAGAGAGAAAAAACTGAACTGAAATGCGAGAAGTCGAAGGCGGCAGCAGCATCACGTTTGATGAACGTGAGGGAAGAAAATTTTCTTTGTTTCGCGAACACGTCGATGAAACTGAGCCATCGTGTCAAGAGAACCGACAACTGACGCACCAGTGTGCAGCAGCATCCTTTGGCGCACGTCAATCCTCTCAGGATTTAGCGGTGCTAGCGCATTTCTGACTATGAGACGACGGTTCTGCAGGGTCGCCGCCGACAGCAGATGGTCGGGGCCTTTTGCGCCTCTACACACTTCCCACGTACTCTCGTTCGGGTCCTCCCCCCCTCCCTCCCCTCCGCTCTCTCTCTCTCTCTCTCTCTCTCGCTCTTGCTCTCTCCTCTCTTTCTCGCGGCTTTCTCGTGAGCGAAGTTAAATTTACTAACCCATATGGCGCCCCTCGCGCCTCTAACGAGCGCTTTTCTCTTGCTCTTTCATCGACCACCTCGTCTCTCTCTTGTTCTCCGCTCTCAACATTTATTTAATTATTTGTTGTTCTTATGCCTTCTTTCCTCTAACGCAGCTTTGCTTTCGTTTTTTAGCGCTATATATATAACTTTTCTTCTGGAAATGTATTTCAATAATTAATACATTTCGTTTGTTCCTTCATGTAATATTCAATGTACATCTGCCGGTTGTGTACATCGCATATACTTGACCCGAAGGCAAAATAAGTTTACTTTCTCTCTCTCTTTCCCGTCCGCACCCGGATGATAGAGGCACGTGCGTTCTTCGATATTTACCACCGGTGGTTTGAACCCGCAGCCCGCGGCTGATAGGATTATCGCGCGGCGTGGCAATGTCGAAATTATCCCGAGAGCGGTTGCCTGATGCTCTGCACCCGGCGGCTTTGATGTATGTAGCATCAAACGGAGCTGGTAGCGATCCTCGGGCTCTCTTCTCGGAAGACGACCGACACGTGATCGTATTTCCGCCGGAGAATTTTCGACGGCTCTTCTGACCGATTTCTGGCCGACGCTCGTTCCGGATATCGCCGCCGACTCGACGAAATAGCTCGAAACCGACGTAAGTCGTAATCGCTATTTGGAGTACTCGATTTATTTTCGTAGCTTCAAAGCGCGATGGTGGCTACATTCTCGTTAAATCAGTTGCGCATAAAGAAAAAGAAGAGATCAATATAATTTTACGACGATCGTATAATTTCATATAATTGAACTATTCGCTGGAGTATAATTTAATTGGCGTATTTATGCGAATACTTGATACTTTAATACTTAATTGAGTTTTAAAAAATAAGAAATATATACAGGCTCAAATGATACAAATAAAATAAAATAAATTGTCAGGATCATAAAGAGCCAAATATTCCGGATCTTAGTGCGAAAAGTCATATAATCAAATTGGAAACATATACAAAGATAAACATTTCGACCCGACATCAGGCCTTCTTCAATGTGACAAAGTCGCATGAAATAAAAGTCGCACACAATAATATAAAAATAGATAATTGAAGTATAAATGATGTGTTTATCAACGCATAAGATAGAACGGAGTCAGCAGATTTAAAATTGGTTCATAATTTATACTTCAATTATCTATCTTCTATATTATTGCGTGCGACTTTTATTTCATGCGACTTTGTCACACTGAAGAAGGCCTGATTTCAGGGCCTCGAAACGTTTGTTTTTGTATATGTTTTTAATTTGATTATATGACTTTTCGCACTAAGATCCGGCGTATCTGGCTCTTTATGCTTCTGACAATTTATTTCATCGAGTTTTCATGTATGATTTAGGTTATCGTGACAAATGTGTGAGTCGCAATAATCGGTTGTTACATGTCGCGTTGCTACACCGCGAACGATTTGCGAAGCGATGTAAACGAATGATGGTGAAAAAGTGAATTAACTCGTTGTTACCGCGGATGATTACGGCCGAGTCTGCAATTAGTAAAATGACTCGTGACTCACTCAAACCGTATGTTGGAGCGTTAGACGAGCGAGAACCGATAAAATAGCCACTATAAATAACAGTTGCATGCAACGCGCGTAAATCACTTCCGTGCGGGACTGAGACGCGCGAATTAATGTCTACAATCACAGGTCCGTTTAGATGTTCTTACTTAATTAGCGACACGACTCGACAGAAAAATAAATTATCGAGTTGCCGACACCTGAGATTATTGTCACTTAAAATCAAACGATTAATCAAAAGAAACTTCCCATTAATCGCACGATTATACATTTTAGAAAAATTCACACACAATTTTAATGGCAGATTCACATTTTTTATTCACATTCAT